TTGTTCTCCTCCACGCACTTCATCATCAGGGGCAAAGTGGCAGAGCTGTGGGGAGGAAGCCACAGAGACGGGATGGGCCATCAAGGCCTCCGAAAACCTGCCACCTCCCTCCTGCCTTCCAATCATCCCTCCTCCCCTTGATCTGCTCTGTGTCAGGATTCCGGCATTGACCCCCATTTAAATCCCGAGTCTCAAGCCAAACTTTCAAAACTTCCAAAGGATTTATTGGGAGTTAACATGTCTGGCATTGCCTGGGTGTAGCCGACTCTGAGACACATCATTCATTGTCACCCTTGACCCTGGTTTTCCCTCCACCCCCCTGGGTGTATTGTAATTCCTATTCTCCAATGGGACACGTCCATAGCCCAGAATCGCCAATCATGCTCTTCCAGTTAGATTTTTGCGCAGCAGAAACTTCAGTTGCCTAGTTACTCTCTTTGAAAAACATTTATGGAATGCACTTTTGGTTTTTGCAAGCTGCCACACTGCTCCCCCCTCCTCCCTTTCTCTTGGCACCTCTAAAAAGACCAGAGAAATATTTTGTGAGTTGACATTCTGTTCTTGAGCACCCAACCAACATCTGGGATCCCTTCCCCACATATTCATCCAGGATAGCAGATTCTATGGTCTACCTGGAGGGAACAGGATGTTCTCCTCAACAGGGGCCCCTGCCTGCTGAAATCGACTCAAAGCAGCCCTTCAAGGTCACCCCAAGGACGCAAAGCATATTGGGGTGGCCAACGAAGGGAAAATGGTGGCCGCAATATCACACAATTGAAGCTACCCCCCCCCCTTTTGAACATCTGCCTAGATGCCAGAAGGCTGAAGTGAGCGAATTCTGGGGGATGCTCTTAACATGAACTCTGTGTGTGTGTGTGTGTGTGTGTGTGTCTCAGTGCTCTCTGAGCCTGGTGGTTTTGCTGTAGACATTTCATGACCCAACTAGGTAACATCATCAACGCTAAAGGGTTTGCTCTCTATTTATTTACAAGTTGCTTTGCCCTAGAGAGTTGCTTGCCCACTCCCTTCTAGCCCTGATGACGTTATCGAGTTGGGTCATGAAACGTCTGCAAAAAAAAACCAAAAAGAAAAACCACCAAGCTCCGAAAGCGCCCAGGACCCCCCACAGTTCTTGTATGGTTCTCCATCCACCTCCACCCAACCTCCTGCCCCAACAAGTCTCTGAATACCTGGAGGAAGTCCCGAAGGCGGTGGCCAGCGGCGTGAAGATGCCCCACAGGAAGCGGTAAGGGTTGCGGCGGGTGAAGATGAAGTAGATCCCCGGGAGAACCAGCAGGCCGTGGATGGCATGGCCCACCAGGCAGCAGCAGATGTATTTGCCCAGGCTGGTGAAGAGAAGCACCACGTCTTCCATCTCCACAATCTTGCCGGCTACCAGAAACATGATCCCCAAGGGGGCGTACCTGGGAAGGAGAAGAGGCCGTCAGCCCAGCTGGAGATCTGCAGTCCCAGGTCAAGAGTCTTCAGGACTGGAGGGAGGCTGGGGGGGGGGGTGTCACTGTTCCAACTAACCGACTCCGAGACAAGCATTTCTTCAAAGTTCCACTTTATTAGAGTTGTCCCATTGAGAGGTCTCCAACCTTGGCCAACTTTAAGACACGTGGACTTCAACTCCCAGAATTCTCCAGCCAGCTTTGCTTGAGCAAGGGGTTGGACTAGAAGACCTCCAAGGTCCCTTCTAACCCCATGGGTTCTATGTTCTCAAGCAGGAGGCCCTACTTCAGAGCTCCCCAAACTTGGCCACTTTAAGACTTTTGGACTTCAATTCCCAGAATTCAACTTTAAGACTTGTGGACTTCAACTCCCAGAATTCCTCAGCCAGCAGAGCTTACTCTCTTGCAATCCCTTCCTCTACAATCTCTCCTCTTTGGGGGAGAGGAGAAAAAGAAACAGACACGGCTGGCTGGGGAATTCTGGGAGCTGAAGTCCACCAGTCTTAAAGTGGCCAAGTTTGGGGACCAAGTTTTGCACTAAATGAACCATTGTAAGTTGTATCCTACTTATATCACGCTAGGATATAGCCAGACCCGGGAGACGGGTTCCTCCCAGCCGCAACATTTACTGGCTTGGTTGCCTCACAAATTGCTGGGCTTGTAAAATGGCTTCTTTGGGCTTAGTGTCTCGTGGGAATACAGACACCACGGTTAGAGTTTGGGGCAAGATTTCCCAAACCTTGCTAGAAACCCCAGGTCCCTTCTGGAGATTGGGAAAAGCTGGATTAAGGGACCAAGTCAGCCCACCTTAAGTGCAGGTTAACTAATGATTTGGTCAACAGTGGGGAAAACGAGCGAATGCAACCTCTGGATAAACTGGGATTAGGCCCGAAGTCTGAGTCCAAGAAAGCTTCGTGAGGTTATAGGGAAATTGATAAAAACAGCCAACTCCCCCGCTCCACCTCAAGTTTCTAATCCTTCGGCCTGCAGGCAAAAAAGACCCAGGCCCAACCCCTATCCATCCTAGGGCACGCAGGGAGGAGAGGATAAGAGACGTGGTCTACTCGGGAGGAGAGGGCCCTGATCCTCTTCATGGGCTGCAGCTGTGACAACTGAATAAGAGGACAGACATGCCTCTGACTCCCATGTCGCCTCCTCCTCCTCCTGTGATTCGGCTGCTGGAGAGGCCAGCAGCTGATAGGCCACAACACTTTCACTTACAAGTTCGTCCAGCTGGGAGATGAACAGCTGTCTGCCACACCTATTCATCTCCTCCCCCTGCCTTTTGTCCCCAGAGCGAGGGTGGGGCTTTGCTTGCAGCGGTGGCTCTTCCGTTCCAAGGACCGGCTCATAGATGTCCACTGCTCTCCTCTCCTCTCCTCTGCCTTCTGCACATCCATGCGTCAGGCACTGGGCCCAGCTGTTCCTCCTCTTCCTCATCAGCCACCTCCAGACCTGGGGGCTGTTGACTCTCCCCATCTGAGGGCTGACGGACAGCCCAGGCCCCGCCTCTCTCTCGGACAGCTCCATTCCCTCTCCCCCCTCCCAGGTTGTCCTTACGCTGACCCTGACTCCCACTTCCGAATCGGCTGCTGGAGGGGCCTTCGGCCAACAGGCCACACCAGTCAACCAGCACTGGAATTACCCGGATTTTGAGCAGGAAAGAGTCCCAAACCCCCGAATTCAGGGCCTCGCAAGGGGCTTTGACACACAATCTTTGGGATCCAGAAGAAGGTCTGTACGAGCAGCATCCTTACCACATAATCCATGAAACCAGGATCATGGTGGCTTCATTGAAGGAGTTGAAGAACTTGATCAGGTTCTCCCCTTCAGGCCCGAGCTTCCTCAGGGCGATCCCGAAGACGATGGCGAAGACCACCAGGCCGAGGATGTTCATGCCTTCGACCTCCTTGCCCTCGGGCACCTGGTTGCAAGGTGGGAGAAAACTATCAAGTTCAGAGGGTGGACTTCCAACACCCCCAGGGTTCCTGAGCCAGCCATACGTGCAACGCTCGACTTATTTTAACAGATAAAACAGAGTTGGAAGGGACCTTGTAGGTCATCTAGTCCAGCCCTCCCGCCCAAGCAAGTTGACCTGCGTGTTCGTGTGAACGAGTGCTGGCCCACCACCACACATGCAAATTAAGATGAACCTAATTGTGCAGCCCAGTTCTAAATGGGCCTGGTAATGGGCTGCAGCCCCGGGGGGCATGGGGGACCCCCTGCCTTACACTACACCAAGGGTCTCCAATCTTGGCCACTTTAAGACTTGTGGACTTCAACTCCCAGAATGCCTCAGCTCACCTTGGCCACTTTAAGACTTGTGGACTTCAACTCCCAGAATTCCTCAGCTCACCTTGGCCACTT